TTTACTCGTCAGAATATCTGGAATTTACTCAATAACTTTGATCTGCGCAGGATTTACCTCAATACCACGGTTAAAAACAAGAAATCCCAAGAACTTACCTTACGAAACTCTAAATGCACATTTCTCAAGATTTAATTTCATATTAAATTTACGAAGAATCTGAAATGTATCAGACATGTGTTGAATATGATCCCCAGCCTGTTGTGACTTGACTAGCATATTATCTATATAGACTTCCATGGTTTTCCCTAGATGTTCTTGAAACATTTTTGTAACCAGCCTTTGATATGTAGCCTCGGCATTCTTGAGACCAAATGACATTACTTTGTAACAGTAAGTCCCCATGTCTGTTATAAATGAAGTTTTTTCCTCATCTATAGGATCCATTTTTATCTAATTATGCCCTGAATTTGCATCTAAAAAACTTAACAATTCATGCCCTGCAGTAGCATCGATTAGTTGATCTATATTCGGTAATGGAAAAGAGTCTTTAGGACAAGCTTTATTTAAATCTGTGTAATCCACACAAACTCGCCACTTACCGTTCTTTTTTGGTACTAGTACAATGTTAGCTAACCAATTTGGATATTTTACCTCGCGGATGGACCCAATTTTTAAAAGTTTTTGCACCTCATCTTGAATCACCTGGTTTTTGAATGATCTTTGCTTTCTCTTCTTTTGTTTGACAGGCGAGTACGATGGATCTTCGTTTAATTTGTGGGTTATCACTTCCGGAGGTATACCTGTCATATCAGAATGGGACCAAGCGAAACAATCTACGATAGCTTTTAAAAATTCAGTTAACTTACCTTTCATTTCTTGACTTAAGTTGGTCCCGATGTAGACTTTCCTCTCAGGCCAAGATGAAAATAGTGTTACAGCTTCCAATTCCTCAATTGTTGTTTTGATGTTTTCATTTTCCTCTGATTCTTGTATGGTATCGGGCCTCGAGTCTACATCTGTTCGTCCGTGCCTGGTTGAGGCTTGTATTGCAGCGTCCTCAACTGAATTCTGTAATTGCTATTTTTCTTCCCTTTTTGCGCTTGAATCTGCTACGGAATTAATGCTCCTAGACGCTTGTTGATCACCACGAATTTGTCGTATTCACCATTGTGAAGGGAATTTAATAACTTGATGCAAAGTCGATGGAACCGCTTTCATCTCATGAATCCATGGTCTACCAAGAATCATGTTATAAGCCATATCCATTTCTACCACTTGGAATTTGGTATCTTTAACTACTCCTTCAGCGAATGTGGTAAGTGTTATCTCGCCTTTTGTTACGACGCTCGAGTTATCAAAATCGGATAATGTTTGAGCCTTGGGTATCAACTTATCATCAGCTTGCATCTCATTTACCACTCTTAATAGAATGACATTCACAGAACTACCTGGATCAATCAAAACTCGTTTCACATTAGTGTCATGTACAAGTGAAGATATTACCGGTGCAGCATTATGTGGGGTTAGCACGCCATCCGTGTCTGCATCATCAAATGTTATACTATCTTCTTCCAAAACTTGTTGAACTCGCGTCCCGTATGTGATCGTGATTTTTTACACCTTCCTCGCTGCTGTAACGCCATTGATCTCTTCTCCTCTACTTATAACATTAACCGTCCTCTTTGGTGAAGGGGGTTTTGGAGGCTCCTGTCTGTTTTTCATATATGCCTGCTTTCCTTTTTCACTAAATAATTCAGTTAAATACCCTTGTTTCAGTAAATGTTCTACTTCACCTTGCAGTAATCTACAATCTGCCGTTTTGTGACCATGATCATGGTGAAATTCGCACCAAAAATCAGGATTTCGCCTGTTCGGGTTCGATCTCAATTCTTTTGGCCAGCGTACCTTGTCGCCCATGTTCCTTAAAACAGCTATCAATTCGGATGTGCTTACGTTAAATCTGTAACTGCCGATCTTCGCCTTGGCGTTTCTATCATCACCACGTGTCTCTCGCGTGTTTCGTTCTCTCCCGAACCTTGATGATAAACCTGACTCCCTATCTCTTGATCTATTATCGTACCTTAAGTTTTCCTGTTTTGAACGTGAGTCTTTTCCTGCTGGTCCCATGTAAGGTTCGTACCTGTTTTTACTGGACTTTTTTTCAGTTTCAGCCCGCCTTGAACTTACTTTTTCATCCCTTTGAGATTAAATGATGGCGTCCTCTTCGATCCGCAGCTTCGTGTTGTACCTGTTATAAACATCATTCCAAGTTGTAGCTGGAAATTCTCGTAGACTTTCCTTGAGTCTCCTCGTGGCTTCTGAACTTCATTTAGATTGCTGGCAAATGCCATAGCTGCCCAGTTATCTGGTACACGGGGTAACGTCATCCTTTCACGCTGGAACCTGTCTACAAATTCTCTGAGCAACTCTGTATCTCCTTGCTTTTTTTAAAAATGTCCTCCATTCTTTTCTCAACTTTTTGAGCTCCCGAGTGTGCTTTGATGAATGAATCTGCAAGTTCAGCAAAAGAATCTATAGAATTTTTGGGTAAAAGAGTATACCATGTTAAGGCTCCCTTAATGAGTGTTTCTCCGAATTTTTTGATCAATACTGATTCAATCTCTTGCTTGGTCAAGTCATTTCCTTTTACACCGGTCGTGAATGCAGTTACGTGATCCCGTGGGTCAGTTGTTCCATCATATTTTGGAATATCGGGCATCTTAAATTTCTTTGGAATTGGTAGAGGAGCAGCACTTGACTTCCAAAGTTGTTGTGAGTACTTGTCCATATCTTTTCCTTTGATTACTGGCGGTACTCCAGGTATTTGCTCTATGCGGTCACTTTGTTCCTTGAGCTGTTTATGCAAGGTTAGTACAAAATTTTGTAAATCTGAATTAATTGGGTTACCTGACCCTCCATCACGAGATTCGCTAGGAGTTCCTCCACTGCCTAAGTTAACGAGCCCTGAGCGAGGATTTTCTAAGGTGTTGTTGATTGGAGTTGATGTTGGCGGCACAACTGGTAATTAGTTAGCGAAGGCCTCAAGAGCATTGCTGACCTGTTGAAGGATTAACTTCTTCAAAGCTTCGTTGATAGCCTCATCATTCTCAAACTGTTCATTTGCATTTGATTGAGACCCATCAGGAGTTCCTTCTCGAGATTGTCGAGGAGAATTTTGAGGGGAAAGGACCGGGGTTCCATCGCCTTGTTGGTTCTCCTGGAATTGACGGTCTCCCTGATTGTTGTCATTGACATTTGACATGATTGATTTGAAAAAAAAGGTTAATTTAGGAAGTAATAGATTATCAGATTCCCGGCAACAGAACCAATTTGTTTAACAAAAAAACAAGAATTTCGGTCAAAGCTTGCTATTAGAAGAACTCGGGTTACTGATAATCAAATAAAAATAAGAATAATTAATATGAATAGTTGCAAGATAAAACGCAAAGTAATTCAGTGTATTCCAATAGTGTTTCATATCCTTACAAATGTTTATTCCTCTCCTTTTATAGCTATTTCTAAGTAATACGTTTCTTTCCTCCCATAATAGAGTTATTATGGGCAATTAATGACACTTAATGCAACGTTATAATTGGCAATCGTAACTGTTCAGTACAGATTCTATAACGTTTCCCTTAGTTAATGCTCATTAACTACCAATAATACGTATCTATCCTCTTTTGCTATCTAGGTTAATTCCTCCGACGCTTTTCCGAATTATCAAGAGGTTCGAGCACATATCCCTTCTGTTTTTCTTGGACCCCTGCTCGTGTCTGTTAAAGCTCGTGCCTCTTTAACTATTCTCTGCCAGCTGTTATTTTTTTACTGATCCACGTGTCATGACATATCATCACATAATAAATTAAATATACTAACTTGAATTTTCCCAATACACTAATTATATTCGAGAAAATTTGATTAACTTTGCTTTTATGTGGATCATAGTGATGAAAGTAATTAATGAACAAAATCATCGCAGTTATACGCAAATCTAGAATTATTTGTTACATTATGGACAAATACATATACGAAAAAGGAAAAGAAAAGAGTAGTATAAAGTAAGGGAAAATAAATTTAAACACATTTAGCCTTTCTCGTACTTGAAAAAACTATATATGACAATTTGAAGCAAAGAGATTTTCCCCTGAATAATTAATAAAAAGTGTAAGATTATTAAAATAATTATTAGGGATAAATATAAAAAACAAAAATAGGATGACAGTGACACCATTATTAATTTGGTATGCATACATTTCCAAGTACGGTATGAGTACCAAATAAAGAGTTTACGTGCGCAGCTGTATCTATGACATGAGATATTCATATCGCCTTCTTCAAGTAGTCATAAATACAGTTGCTGTCACAAGAATTGCCTGTGACATTATTAGTCACAAAATAAATAAAAAACTAAAACTAATAATAATAATGATGATGATGATAAAGTCGTGGTGATTATGACATGAATTTAAGTTGAGAGAAAATTTATTACATTAAATTTTCAATTGCAGGATATTATTGTAATCTTCAAGAAATATCTTTTTTATTTTCCATAAATTAATGCCGACTGTGATCGGTTTATCGAATAATTTGAGAGTAACAATTGACTGAAAAGCACAAAATTGTGAAAAACTGGCCAAGTCCATGTAGAGGTGATCGATGTAGAGCGAAGCCAGGATTTAAATTAATGAGTTCAAAATTATAGTCTTTTAAAGTTATTGAGTTCTAAATTAATAATTTATGTAAGTATATTTTTAATGCATTTCTATAGATACAAATTTAATTTGAACCAAAATTACTTGTTCGTGAAACCGGAAGAGCCAATACTAGCTCCGCCCCTGGATCTATGCACGCTCGAAACTAAAGGAGATCGAATGACAAGAAAAAAAAAAGTTCAAATAAAACTAAACAAAAATGAGAACAAATTTTCTACAAAAATAAAGTCTTTCTTCTTGTATTTTCATGATCTCTTCTATGTATACAAAAATACATACACAAGCTTTTCAAAGCATACTAATGAACCTCACTATAGGCACTGATCAATTATATTTTGATCCACAAACACCAAAAAATTGTTCTTGAATTAAGGCAATAATTAACCATATATCAGCCTCTTCATCTTTTCACTTCCCTTCTTGTCACCATAACCAAAAGAAGCTAAATCAACCTAATACAATCCTTGTTATATCATCAAAGTCAAGAAAGAAAAAGAAAAAGAAAAAAAAAAAGTCTTGAAACCCAAAATATACAGTGTTCATCCAAAAAGAAGAAGATTAATTAGTAGCCTCCCACGATCAAAAGAAAGAAAAAACCCAAGTAGTATTTGATTTCGGCGAATCGAAAATATAAACTGGCTTTGATCAGGGTAATCTCCAAGTACTCTTAAGACCAATATCATTGTGTTTTCTTGATGGACCAGAAGCTGGTATTGGAATTCTCTTTGGCAATAAGTTCCAAAAATGGCCATATTGATGAGAATTTCTTTGGCTACTTGGGTTAAATACTTGAGAGCTGCTTCTTGAACCATGACAATGACCAAAAATAGTGATTAATATAATAGCCATCCAAAAGACTATATTAAGAGGTACTTTTCTTCTGAAGAAACTGATCATATTCTTGAAAACTCTATGGACAATTCAGAAGGAGCAGAGAAAACATGGAATATTTGGAAGATTTTATCAGATGTTTCTTCTACTGGCAGAGTAATGTTAGAAAGAAGAAAGAAGAAGAGGACATGAAGTAGAAAGTTTGAAAAGTTTGATAAGGCTTTTTTGATAGGGGCCATTTGGTTTGGGTTATAGAGTAGTGACTTGAGAGGCAATTCAATAAAGAAAAAAAGGAAAATAAATGGAAATGACATAAAGAGAAAAAATAAAGGTGTTCTCTTCTTCTTTTGTCAAAAACCAAAGAAAAGAAATGGAGAAAAATCATAAGGTAAGGGTACAAGTAATTAAAAGTATTTAGTAACTAATATTTGTGGTGGTGGGAGGGGACATGTATCTGGTAAAATTATTTAAACAATAACAACAACAATTCAGTCGAATTTCACAAGTGGGGCCTGGGGAGGGTAGAGTGTACGCAGACCTCATTCCTACCTCGAAGGGGTAGAGAGGCTGTTTCCAGAAGACTCTCGACTCAGAGACTCGTAAAATTATTAAAAGTGCATGTAAATTAAAATTATAAAAAATTATAATTATTTGCGTTGTT